TAGCGCAGAAGCACACCTTAATGATCCCTATCTTTCTCCGTTCCACTCCCTCTGAAACCATTTCCCTTTAACTGCAGGACCAGCAGGGTTCAGTTCAGGGCAGAGCATAACTCACACACTTTCCACTTATCAAAGACCTATCAGAACCCGTTACCAAAGAGTGAATAATTGACCAACACCCGGGAGATCATGCCCAAATCCAAAGCCAGGTTGTCAGCTCTGACAGGCCCAAATCTGGCCCTCATCCCATATGTTACCCCCCGCTTCTCTCTGTTTAATGCTGAACAAAGGCATACAGTGTTTTGATCTGAGGTCACTTTATTTTTCTTCTACCTCAAAAGACTCTTCTCACCAGATTTGACCAACTTCTTGTTTCCTATTTCCCTCTCACTATGCAGTGAGCTTGTGCCTACACTGCTCAACCATGAAACCATAACTAAATATAAATCATCCCTTCTCTCACTCTGTCACTCTGATAGCCCCTCCACACTCGCTCACGTGCTCTCTTTATTTCCCCCTTCATCCCTCTCTCTTTCTCTCACTCTAACTTGCTCTAACCCTTACACAAACACAACTCTAATAAATTGTGGCACTGGTAATTACATAGAACCCACCGGTAAATTTCACTTCCATTTACATTTAGATTACAGAATATTTCATTCCTATCAATCTGCACTGCAAGACCAATGTGTGCATGGCTTTGCCCATATGCAGACACAACTGTTCATGGCATTTTTATATTCTTACTGGTGCATGTGCAGACACTCAGCGATGAGCGCACATATGCTCGCATTCAGAAAGACAAAGTGGGCAAACGCTTGCAAGAGCTCACACACATGCAGGTGAGGAGACACACACACACATAGCACCCACACACACACATTGAGCAATACATCTTAATGTTCACCAGCACACATGGACAAATGCACATATTAGGGTAGTAAATCCTAACTTCACTGCCCACGTACAGTATGTGCACATATATGATGGTATCTTAAAGTATAAAAAAATCTTTGTTGATAAATTGATTGCTGTTTTGAAAAAGAGCCACAATTTACCTTGAACTGTGCAATATGTATCTGTGAAAAAGCAATCAACATCTCAGAAGAGCTCTGGGCTCTTGTTTGTAAGAGTAGTAAAGAAATGTGTTTTTTGAGAATATCCATCTGCCCCAAAATTAAATACGAAATGTTTTAAATACTATTTACAGTGATGTTATGGTGAGTCTTTGGAGGGAACATCCTGTCCAACACAGACACACCACACACATTGTCTTTACACACAAACTCACCCACTTCTGGATCATATTACATTCAGATGCAATCTCATCCACTTCGCATAAAAGACAGCAATATGTGCCCAAAACTGTAATATTTGCGACTGTTTATAAGGAGAGAGGGAAGTGAAAAGAGCCAGAGGCGGCAACTTGGGAAAACAGATATCACCAAGATGTTGCCTACTCTCGATCTTTTCTCTCCTTTTCTTTAGGTCTGTCCCCTAGTCTGTCTCACGCTCTGACTCACCCACTCTCCCACCCACCCCCATCCTCTCAGTATTACTGCATCATTTCCAACAGTAATGAGTGCACCAGGAGCAGGGAGATAGCAAGGGAGAAGGGGAGGTACTTGAGGGAATTAGAGTGTTTAAAATATACACAACGGGTTTCCTCTTGTGAATAATCAGTGCAAATACCCCCTCCCTTAAGGTACTGAATCACACACACACCTGTACCATTCAATGTGCTTTCAGACCCGTGACATTAGAAGAACATGATTAACAAATACAATCCCTATCGAGGAGCCTTAAGTGTCTGCCATTGTATTTTGCATTACTTGATTGTTCTGGATGCTCTCATTACTGCCGCTGCTTCACTCTTAGTGGCACTCCAGGACACAGAAAATACATTACCTAGCAGTGGTTAAGTGTATGAGACATTAACTAAAGCTTTTGCCAGAATATAGTGTGGAGGTAATTTCCTGCATAAAATTGGTTTTCTTTCTTTCGTGTGAGAGAAGTGTATTACCAGGTGGTAATGTGGCCAAGAGAAAGCATAAAGATGCTTCCAATACTGAAACAGGACACATACGATTTCCCGCAGGTGTTTATATTTCCGTCTACGTGTTCGGGTGCAGACATGAGTGTGGGTTTTTTTTTCTCCCACCCAGACAGCTTTATTGTCATTAGGAACTTGTGCTGATATGATCTGCCGAGGTTTGGGCTAGTGCGGCTGCAGGAAATTGGAGCAGCGGGGTGGCATTAGAGTTTAAACTGAAGAGCAGTGGGAAACTAACAAAGCTGGCTATTGGGACAGATCAGCATCAGTACACTGTAAACATCCACACACGAATACACACTTACAAACACTGGAGAGAGTGGAGTTCAATTGAGCAGAGGAAAACTGCTGTACTTATGTAAGAGCATACAGACCTTAAGGCTCATGCAGAAAAACATGATCAGCATCGCTGTGCAATAGCTAGCATATTATAAATACTAAACTCATGAACCCAGACGCCTCCTCCTTCAGGCAAAGTTGACCAGACAACAACATTAATGTTTTAAGTAAAACAGTCATATGTTCAGCTTTGTGACAATGCATTTCTCAAATAACTCGATGGGTTTTAAAAGGCTCTTTAGCCTAAGAAATAATATAATAATCATTATTGGAAATCCCTGAAAAATGCAAAACCCACCAATTGTGGATATTTTACAGGACAGTGCATTTAAGGTAGGGAATTCTACTTTTTAAATTAGTAAAGAAATCGTTATGTTGTCGAGGTCACTTTGGAAGAAACTTAATACAATGTCTTCTTATGTAAGAATATGCAATAACAGACACAGGGAAGTACATCTTTGAAGGCTTTCCATACAAAAAGCTATAGTACAGTACAATCCTCCAACCATTAAGGCGCAAGGGAAATCCATCACTGAGGAACCTCTGTCCACAGACTTGAGAGATGCGAGAGAGGGTCACTGTCTCATCATAGCAGTAAACATTTTTTTTTATTGCTATACAGGACTCTGCTCACACACTTGAGCGTGTGTGTGTGTGTGTGTGTGTGTGTGTGTGTGTGTGTGTGTGTGTGTGTGTGTGTGTGTGTGTGTGTGTGTGTGTGTGTGTGTGTGTTTGTTTGTAGTGTATAATGGTAGAGGGGGCATAAGTCTGTTAATAGGCCCACATCTGAGGATATGTATACAGACAGACGCGTGCTTCTTTCGTTCTTTGTTTACTGTAACTGAAAGCTGCAGGGTCCCTGCTGAACAAACCTCTCACAAAGGAGGGCATGCATATAAAAAAGCACCATCACACACCCTCTGAGCATTAACAGATCAAAACTAAAATGCTACGTTGCTTTGAATAAAATTGCTCTAAGGCTAGTTTATTTAGTGATGCAGGCAGCTACAAAGGGCCGTGGTTAGAGAGGGCTGTGAAGTGGCAGCACCTTGACAGGAAACTTGGTAAAGTGTAAGAAAGTGCTGTAGAATGGGAAAATGAGTAGGTTGTAGCAACAGTTTGACAAAGAGTAGGAGGTTGCCAAGAATAATATGTTTGCAAAAGCTGCAAAAGCACAAAGATCAGCCATATTTGTATCAAAAGTGTTTGGAGGTTTCATTGCCTCGGAAAAAGCGATAAAAACAGGGATTTGCAAGTTACCCTGTGGTTGTTTTTTGAGTGAAAGATAAGAGAAAGTTTAGTTCAGGATCCTTATTTATGTGCATCAAAACAACAGCAGAGCCTTTCTCTTAATGCAGTTGCTGAAAGCTGAATTGACTGCACTAAATCTAAAGACTTGGAAGTAGCCATATCAGCTACATTTTTGTTTAGCTATAACTCATCCACACTGAAATATGTCCTACCGTAAACAAAGCTTGAACATGATTACAGAATAAAAGTTGTTCTAACCTGAAAGATAAATCTCTTTGTGGGTTCTTATCTAGTTATAGGGAGCAGAAATTGGACTCTCTCCCCAGTGTGGGACTTGTGACTTGTCCTTCTGTGTCTTTCGACCTCATGTTTACCTCTATAACCCAGAGCTGTCTGTAGCGTTCAGTGTTGACGTTGAGCACAAAAGGCACCCTAATCCCGGGCTGAATATGCATGACGCGCAACGCAGTGCTGTGGCTGCTCGCAGTTTAATAGTTTCAGCACCACGTTGGTGAACAGCGCCATACGCCGCTGAGACACACAGGCTCAGCTGCAACGAGTTCCGAGCTGCTCTTTGACGGCGCAGTTTGACAGGCCGAGCCGGAGAAAGAACCTTTTATCTGTAATCAAATCATTGGCCCCGGGGTTGCAGCTGAGTGTGATTCCCTTTCCCCTGACGATACCGAGACCTTGTAAAAGCACGGCACTTTTATTTTGATGCCCACAAAAGGAAAAGAGAGTCAGACAGGGGTGAGGTGGACCAGAAGACAAGAGAAAGGGAGAGAGAGATTGACACACACATATTTTGGGTGGCTCATTTAAAGATATTAAGTGAAAAAAAAAAGATTCCTTGTCAATAAAGTTGAACCCAATTCCCTTTTAAAAAAGAGAAGAAGAAACTGAAAGGACGGGGAATTGTGAAGATGGGGAGAAGGGGGCACTGTAATTCGGAGTTACTCAAGCAAAGCGGGGACAGAAGTGATCCCCAAATCCAAGACACACGCATGGGCTAGGGCTGCATATTGTAGGCAACACACACAGAATATGGTCCGGTGCAGAGAGAGAAGGGGGGTGAGCAAGTGTGTGTGTGTGTGTGTGTGTGTGTGTGTGTGTGTGTGTGTGTGTGTGTGTGTGTGTGTGTGTGTGTGTGTGTGTGTGTGTGTGTGTGTGTGTGTGTGTGTGTGTGTGTGTGTGTGTGTGTGTGTGTGTGTGTGTGTGTGTTCCTTGAGAAGGAAGCTGAACCACTTCAGCCTGCGCAGCCCAATAATAACTACATGACTGCTCTGGGTGAATGGACCGTCTCTTCCACCTCGAACCGCTGGAATAGTATATTCACTAGACGGGTGATTTTAAACCTCTATCGTGAAAATAGGGAGAGAAAGGGGTTCAGATGTTCCCCCTTTCTTTCCTCTTCGACGTAAAGCAGAGACGCACCTGCGAGAGTGCCTGCTCCGGCTGTCTTCGCTGAGAAGCCCAATTGGGGTGCTGCTGCTGCCGCTGCTGTCGCTGCTGCTTGGCTCAGGCTGCACACACTTTACAGACTGGACCAGTGGACTGGGAAAAAGACAGAAAAAGAAAGAGGGGAGAGCAGGGTGAGCCACGGAGAGGGGGGGGAAGGTGAGAGAGTGCGTGAAACAGAGATTGGATGAATTCCTCTCCTCCTCTGGCACTCCACAGGCGCTCTTTCATTTATCTGAGCCCGACCGACGACAGCATGCCAAGCGCAGACTCCAGCGACACAACTCGGTCAGTATAACATTCCTGTCTCTCAGACTGTCTCTGTTTTCTCTGTTAGTTTTTAGTTCACTCTCTCTCAGTCGCACGCACATCACATAAGCAGGCATGTCTTCTCCCACTTTACACATTGTCTTCTTTTTTAAATGCAGCCACCGACTTCCCAATAAAGGACAGGAGTGAGACTTCCACCGTTGCAGCGGCTCCTGCACAACATCCGTGCAGGACACTACTTTGAGGACATCCGGGACACTGCCGACACGAGGACCCGACGCAGAGAAAGAGGGACCATCGTATATGAGCCCAAAGCCCCGCGAGGCCCCTGGGATGGCGGGCAGTGCATGTTACTACCTGGTTATCAGCTCCACACACCTGAGCAATGGACACTTTCGGCGCGTTAAGGGAGTCTTCAGAGGACCGCTGTGTCCAACCGCAGCCAGTGATTCCCCGGTAGGAAAACACGCAGGTCTTGATAGATTCACCTAGGTGTGTGTGTGTGTGTGTGTGTGTGTGTGTGTGTGTGTGTGTGTGTGTGTGTGTGTGTGTGTGTGTGTGTGTGTGTGTGTGTAGTTTAGAAATAGTTTGAGTCCTTCATTGAGCTCGAGCTAATTGCTGCCACTTGTATTTACTTTTTCTTGTGACTTATTCATCACATGATGTTGTAATAGGATGTTTCTCACAAGTATGGGAAGACCAAAAGAGTGTTTGTAAGTGTGTAAACACTGTGTGCAGGATATAAGAAAACAACAGCCTATAGCAGCCCCAGTGGCACTGTCATCTACTGAGGAGGCGGATAAAAGAGGTGGATATTTTTACAAGTTGTGATCCTTTTCTTTTCCTGAGCCATGAAGGAAAGATTTATATTTTGGAGACAGTTAGATGTGGATATTTTAAACAGAGGAGAAATTGGGTATCCAACCATGAAGCAATTGTCCCCCCATGCCTTCTTCTCCTTCTCACGGCTATGGGAATTAAACGAATCAAATTACATTAGTGATTTCAGGAGGAGATGAGTCGCCCAGCCGAATATAGCACAAATTACCTGGGGAGTATTTGTTGTGTGTGTGTGGGGGTGCGTGTGTGTGTGTGTGTGTGTGTGTGTGTGTGTGTGTGTGTGTGTGTGTGTGTGTGTGTGTGTGTGTGTGTGTGTGTGTGTGTGTGTGTGTGTGTGTGTGTGTGTGTGTGTGTGTTGTGGTGTGTGTGTGTGTGTGGTGTGTGTGTGTGTGGTGCGGGAGAGACCTGCCTAGCGTGGTGGGGTAACTCCCTAACCTTTCCCTGGTGCCTGTGGTTCCTTTGAGCCACCAAACTGGCTTTCAGTTTGTGTACACTTAATACCTGTGTATTTTTGTGTCTGTGCACTTGCAGAGACAAAGAAACAGTGTATGACAAAGAGAGAGAGAGAGAGAGAGAGAGAGAGAGAGAGAGAGAGAGAGAGAGAGAGAGAGAGAGAGAGAGAGAGAGAGAATAAAAAAGGGAGTAGCAGGGCAAATGACAGTAGATGTAAATATGAACATGATATGTTGGACTTTGTGAATTAGTGTGTGTTTGTGTGTGTGTGTGTAGATTCAGGAGCTGCTTGGAGGGTCTCTGGTAATCACACATTATTCATGAGCTCTTAATGTGAGACGAGACAAACTGGCAGAGCTGATGACAAGTTTGATGAGAAAGGAGGAAAGGAGCAGCTGGTATGTGTGTATGAGTGTGTCTATGTGAGTGTGTGTGCGCGTGTTCATACTCAAGTCATTACCAGTCTGTCATGTTCGGCCTGCGCTCACTATGTGATGGGAATGAGCGAACAGTTTTGCGCAGACACAGTCAGGCTGGCAGAGATGCAAAGAGTCATATTAAAAAATATATAGGCATTGGAACTTTTGCAGATGTTAAATACACACATTGTTTCCAGATGGAATACAAAAATACCAGTAAAATATATAATTACTGCACACACTCTATACAGTATGCATAAATCAACATGTCTACAAATTAGGGATCCCCTTCTAATTTGTTATAATGTGAATCATCGGTCTCAGAGCCCCCTTCATTTCTGTGTAGAATCAAAAGTTGATTTGTTATTGCGCCTGCAACAAGTTTAGTCTTGTCTCAGAAGCATGTCCAATTTGTCATAAAAAGTCTAATTTGGATGCTCTTGAAGTGTACTGTCTAAAACACATCCATATCTTAGACCGATGAAGGCATTTGCCTACTTTTCAGGCAGACACTAATTTCTGTTCAGTTTATCATGTTATGACAATTCATTTGAAGAGACTTGACACTTAGATGAGATAAGCAATCTATTACCAACCACATCTATCAGATTTACAGTGTAGTTACAATGATGGCGGAGTATCTAATCAAAGTACATTTAAAATGCAAGCAAACATTTTAGAAACATACTAATTACTATTTCTTAAGAAATAAGTTAAAGGTAGGTAAGTTTGAGAAACCGGCTCGAGATACACTTTTTGTTATATTCCATGGAATGCTCTTAACATCCCGATAGCAATGAATATCTTAAGTGCTTTGACAAAAAATCCATTAAAAAATGTCATCTGTGGAAGCCGTAATACTGTAAAAAGCACGACCAATCATTTTAGCCGGCCCGGCTGAAATAACTGGATGGCCTACCTGCCTGTCAGCCTTCCATCTGTGCACAAACTTATCTCGTGCCCTCATTGGTCATGTGCGCGTTCGTGTGTGTTGGAGGAGGGGCTCTGTAAGGAAGTGGCAGATATTTTCCGGCTGTGTATTTTCAAATTCTAGCGCACTCGAGCTGGTTTCTCCAAAATTACCTACCCTACCTTTAAGTTCTGAATGGTCTCATGTATAATTTTTTTATACAAGCAGGGAATAGCTTGATGGTGCGCGCAAGTGTTAGTGAAAAAAATCTAAACAATTCAAGCAACATCATGGACAGCGGTGATTCAGAAGATTCGCTTTTAACAAAAATATCCAGATCCTAGCCTGCCCTCTGCTGAAGTGTCCCTGATCAAAACATTCAATCCATATCAGCTTCAAGGTATTAGACAAGGGAAAGTAAAATAGAAATAGAAATGTTGAGTATGTATTTTTCCCTCCATACTGCAAGCTTTCCATAACAAGTGTCATTCATGATAGGACGGACCTCATTCACCTCCAACTCCATGACCTAAATAATAAAGATGGATCTACATGTGGTAAGCTTTAGATACTGGAAAACGCTGGCTAAGTATGTATTGAAGGTCGGGAAAAAAAAAGATGTGCTTTTCAGATTTATCTATATTAGTTTAGACATGGGCCAATTTATGGGCCTGTCAGCATGATAAACAGGCAGCACTTGTGGTCAAGTATCAAAAGTGACCTCTTGTGTTAGATGAAAAAAAAGTCCTTCATCCAAGAGCGGGGGAGTTGAGCACATCTCGTCAAGACTGTGAGACATGCTGAGCAAAATGTTTCACTCCTGTCCGTTCTGTTGTAGAGGACGCGGCGCCAGCCAGAACAACAGCTAGTTGCTCTTTGATTTAGCTGAGATCAGGGGAGTACAAAGGATATCACAACTGGGATTTGTCAGGGGTATCTTTTTGCGTCTTCTCTTTGATAAGGCGTTGCAGCATTACGAAAACAGTGGGTGCTTAGGAGTGGTAAAGAACAGACGTCTAGACTCACAGCCTCCTTTTTCCCTCCACAACAAATCTCCCGTGTTTGTTAAGAGTGCTGTGCTTTGTTGTTTGGTTAGCTTCCCTCTGGAGTTCTGTGGTATGTCTTGATTAAGATTTTACTCATTACTACTTCATCATCACTAATTATTCATTGTTAAACGTCTCTCGGACGTGTTTCAATTTGTGTTCCCGTATGTATATTAGTGCTTCATCACCATTGGTGGGTCATTCTTCCAACTCTCATTCACATGTATTTTCTTCTTGGATTCAGCATAGGGAGAGAGACGACAGGAGAGTGCAGAGAGGACAGGTTCAGCCTTAAAGATCTCCTATCATGCTATTTTTATGCATATATTATGGGTCTCACATATATCAAAATATATCAAAACATGTGTTTTGCTCAAAATACCAAACAGATCACCCATTCTAGCCATCCCTCATACCCCTCTATTTTAGCCCTGTTAGAGAAGTGCTGATTCTGGGTCCTTAGCTTTTTTACACATACTCTCTCCAGTACAGGTTAGCTCTGTTAGCGATGCTTGCTAATGTAAACAAAGACCATATTACGTTACTTATAGGGCCGCGGGTGCAAAGCCAGTCAACATTTCCGATATTACGTCATATCGGCAGCAAATCTGGATCACCTCCGTGGTACCCCCGTGTTTAGACATTTGGGTTTGGAGGAAAAGAGAGAGGGTTTTGTTTTCTGACACTTTGTGAGTTCCCTGACACACCGGGGACGCATATTTATATACAAGACATAAAAAAGAGCATTTTGCATGAAAGGAGACCTTTAATGCATCATACTTCATACAAACAGATCCAAACTGAGTATTCATTGCTGTCCCATGTCCAGAAAACCTCCGATCCACTTTCCTCTGTCTCCAAACGCCTCCCTCTGTGAATATTATAGCCTTGTGTGTGCATACTTAGCACATCTTCTGAGGACCACTTTGATGTATATTTCACTGCCATTCCACAAAACAGATGAATCGCAGGCCATACAGCAGTGTCAAAGTGAGTGTGAATGTGCCGCTGTGTGTGTGTGTGGCACCGCATTTGCACCCTTGTGTTTTCATTGATTCCGCAGGGAGCTGAACAGTGTTTATGTAAATGAGGTGGCATTTAAACATATGCCCTGAACAATTATCTTGAAACAAGTATTTAGCAGCACAAAAACACGGCCATGTTTGGATTGAGTCAAGTACTTAGCTGCAGATATTAAGCCATCATGAGGGGACAGAGGTGAGATGAGCCAACTGGCTCACCATTTGGCTTGCCAGTTGGCTCATGCTATAAATGCGATACCAAGGAATCATTGTGCGCTGTTAATGATGATCATAATAATAAGTGAAACACACTCACCATCAAAGAACTCCCGGGGGACCAACAAGCTGGTTATAGCATCTTGACATTTATGGAGTTCAACTCATTTCAGAAAGAAAGTTAAATGTTAAATGTTAGTTTTGGATAAAAAAGGTGTTTGCGACACAGGCTTAAAAGCTGCTCTAGAGTTATTGAGTCTTAGATCGTCAGAAAAGCTATTTAAGAGTCAACGCCCCTGATGCTGCAGTCCCTCAAAATCATTCGTAGAGTGTAATGTGGAGGCACACACACACGCACACACACGCACACGCACACACACAGGCACACACACAGGCACACACTGAGTCAGCCATCAGGCCCTAGTGGAACCGTTTGAGAGTGAGCAGGTGAGTGCTGCTGAATACTAAAGTCCTGTATGACTGGACCATTCCTGCTGACCACTGCAAAGTGCTCCCACTGATCACCGCTAATGTCTTTCATCACAGTTTA